AGATTTTTGAAATATGCTTTCCATATCCTTTTAAATTCTGTAAAATCTGTGGTAATGTCTCCTAGGTCTTGATATTTTAATTTTAAAAATGTGTAATTGATATTGTGTAATAGGAAGTAATGGTGTAAAGGAGCAGGGGAAGTGTGAGGGGTGGGGAAAGGAAAGAAGGGAAAAGAAAAAGTATGAGAAAAGGAAAAAACTGGAAACAAAATCTTTGCAAATAGGGAAGGGTGGAGGTGGTGAAGGGAGGGCAAGGGAAGGGGACAAAAAATAAGAACCAAGATACTCATGTAATGGTACAAGATCCCAATGATGAATGTAACTGTATTTTATTCCCAAAATGTACCAATAATCTTAATGGGCGGGGGGAGAAAGCTATTTTTTTTGAGTGATGACCATGTATCCAGCTGCTTACTGAATCTCTCAATTAAGTCTAAAAGACTTTTGGCAGAGTTTTTTGGGTCTTCTATGTAAAGTATCAAATTTCCAGCAAATAATGCCAGTTTAACTTCTTCCTTTTCTATCTTTATTCCTTTTATTTCTCTCTCTTTTGTAATTGCTATGGCTAATGTTTACAGCACTGTATTGAACAGGAGTGTTGATGGTGGGCATCCTTGTCCTGTTCCTGATTTTACCGTGAAAGTTTTCAGTTTTTGACCATTTAGTATGATGTTGGCTGTTGGTTTTTCATTGATAGCCTTAATCAGGTTGAGATAAAGACCTTCTATTCCAATTTTCTGTAGGGTTTTTATCATGAATGGGTGTTGGATTTTGTTGAATGCCTTTTCTCCATGTATTGAGATGATCATATGGTTTTTGTCCTTGGCTCTATTGATATAGTGTATTACATGTATTGATTTGCATATGTTGAACCATCCCTACATCCCTGGGATAAATCTGACTTGGTCAGGGTGTATGATCTTCTTGATGATATTCTGTATTGTTTGCCAGTATCTTGTTGATTTTTGCATCTATGTTCATTAGGGAGATCGGTCTATAGTTCTCTTTTTCTGTTGGGTCTTTCTCTGCTTTGGGGATCAAAGTGAAGCTTGCTTCCAGGAATGAACTTGGGGGTATTTCTTCCCTTTCAATTTCATTGATGAGTTTAAAGGGTAATGGTTTTTCGAAAGAATAAGTAAAATCAATAAACCTTTAGCCAACCTTATCAAAAAAAGGAAAGAAAAGGCTCAAATCCATGCAATTAAGAATGAAAAGGTTGAAGTCACAACAGATCCTGCAGAAATCCAGAGCATCATCAATACCTACTTGGAGGACTTGTGCTGTAATAAAATGGAAAACACAGAAGAAACGGACAGATTCCTAGATACATACGAATTGCCAAAGTTAAATGAAGAAGATACAGAAATTCTAAACACCCCAATTACAATGAGTGAAATTGAAAATGTAATTAAAAATTTACCAACAAAGGAAAGCCCAGGTCCTGATGTCTTCACTGCTGAATTCTACAAGACATTTAAAGAAGAACTATAGCCATTACTCTTTAAAATCATCAATGAAATTGAAAGGGAAGCAATACTTCCAAATTCATTCCTGGAAAGATGATGCATCTTAAGATTTGGCAGATGATGATGATAAATTATACCGTTTCCTGGTTAATGCTCAGGTCATATTTCCAGACACTAATTTCCCTAAAACATTAGACATATTACTAGAAAATTGTCTTCCCCAAGTAGTTCACATCTATAAATTGAGAGTTGTAGAGTAAGTTTTTGTTCTTTTGAGACTGTTGTTCTTAAATTGCTTCCCCCTTCAGTTATGTTAGTTTATTATAGTCATATGTAGAAACTTGGTTACGTGTTCCACAAGCCTGTGGCATTTAAAATTATTCTTCTAAACCAGGTGCAGTGGCACACATTTGTAGTCCCACCTGCATGGGGGGCTGAAGCAGTATTGCAAGTTTAAGGCTAGCTTAGGCAATTTAATGAGACATTTTCTCAAAATTTTAAAGAAATGATGGAGATATAGCTCAGTGGTAGAGAACCCTTGTGTTTGATCTCCAGCACTACTTTTTAAAAAAATTCTCTTATCCACACCTGGTGACACACACCTACAACCTTAGCTACTCTGGAAGCTAAGGGAGGAAAATCACACATTCGAGGCCAGCCTGGGCAACTTAGTTGCTCTCAAAATGTTAAAAATGGAAAGCACTAGGATGTAGCTCAGTGGTAGAGTGCTTAATCCTGCAATTTGAGAAAAGAAAAAAAAAATAGTTGAGGTCAGTGGCATACACATGTAGTCCCAGCTACTTGGAAGACAGAGAGGGTCGCCTGAGTCCAGAATTTGAGAACAGCTTGACAACATAGTGTGATCCCATCCCCCGCAAATTTTTTCTAGTTTTGACATGCAAATACCAGGAAATGCAGAAGAGATATTTTAATAATTTTTCATCTTAAAAGTAGAAATGTTCATTTTAGCACCTTTGGGAAATACTAAGGTAGAAAGAAAACCAAATTCACCGCTGTATTTTGATATATTTCCCTAGTTTTTTTATTTTTATGTTACAAAATATGGGTTATGCTATATAATTTTGTAATCATTTAACTTAGTATGTTTTTCTTTAAATATTTGACAGTATAATTTTTTTCCTTTATAGTATTCCACCATGGATATATAATAATTCATTCACCCAGTTCCTTATTGTCGAATACTTAGATTGTTCAGTGGGTTTTGTTTTTAAGAATAATGCTGCAAAGACATCTCTGTATTCAAGTCTTTGTGTATATCTCTGATTTCCTTGGTCCACTAAAAGAATTAGTTTTTAGTATGCTAAAAGAATTCAGTTTCCTAAAATAGTAGGTCCAAATATGAGTACAGTTGCTGCCAAAGACATTAAACTGTTATAATAGAGAACATTCTAAATGGCAAATCTTACCACACCTGAAAATTATGGTCTAATATATTTAAGGAATTATACTACTTTAAGAATAAAGAACAGTAAAATTTGGGTGTTTTTTTCTTGCTCCAGTGTTGTCACCACAACTATTGGCACTCTATGGTCTATGTGCCACACATGCAGCAGCCTCATGTAGAGAATTACCCAATCTATACTGAGCCACCTCCTCTGATGGACCAAACTGTTCCTAACTTGTACAGTGAGGTAGCGAGAGCAGATGGTGCACAGACAGAAGCATCAGCGAATGGTGAGTATGTAATGAGATTGCCACAAAAGGGAAAATTGAATTTTATTGCGTAGAATTTAATTATAGTCTTCAGATGTTTCATTAGATCCCTGTACTTAGACCAGCTGTTTTTAACGCATGATATGTGGACCCTTTAGGGGTACCTGACAGCCTTTCAAGAGATTCATGAGGCCAGAAGTATTCACAGTAATACTAAGATTTTGTTTGTCACTTTAACTGTGTTACATTTGTATTCAAAGTGTAAAAATCAGTGGTGGGTAAAACTTCTGGCACCTAAGTACACATCAAGGCATTAGCACCAAACTCTCCTCTTTCGATCACTATCTTTCTCACCAACATGCAATTGGCACTAAAATGCCAATTTTAATTTTTTTTGTTTCATCACAGATGTTCTTATTTTTACTAAATCTCTATCCTTGAATAATTATATTTAATATTCTTTGTCACAGAGTAGGAACTATTCATAAAATACCTGCATACTGAATGAAGTGTGATGATTAAAGAAAAGGACTTGCAGTATTGATTTGTTAGCTGAGCTGACTTTTTCTATGAATCACATTTTTTACTTGAATGATAGATAAACTATGGTAGTTCAGATTGAGTTGATCTGATTGACATTTTTTCACATGAACAAAGTAAGCCTGTCACTTAAAGGAAAATAAATGGTAGTTTTTGTTGTCAATGAAAATTCCAGTTTTCAAATACAAAACTAGAGTTTTGGGAAACTTGGATCTGCCATCATGTGCTTGACAGCTTTCCAGTAATTAAAACTCTTCTAATATAACTGGAGCTATTAGTGAATTTAGTTAGTTTCTCAAATTGTATAATGAGATGTTTTTTACATTTGGAAGATCTGTATAACTCGGTGAATAGTTTCCCGTTTACCAATGTAGGATGTTACTTATGCCTGATTTTGCAACAGAGCTAGCCAAAGTGAAAGATAAAACAATGGATTTTAATGTAACAGAATATGAAAAGTTCACATTGTTACTGATCTTTGAGAAACTACCATTTATGTACTTTAGGTATAGCGTCAAAGTATATCTACAATTAGCTGAAATGTGTTGTTATTAAAAGACTTGTCTTTTCCAACTACACATCTGTGTGAGGAAGGAGTTCTTCATATACTTCAACTAAAACAACATACAATAGATTAAGTACTGAATCATATGAAAATCTGTCTTCTATTAAGCCATACAGTAAAAATTTTTACTAGAACCATGACATGCTTCCTCACAATTTTGTTTTGGAGAATTTTTTTAAATTAACATTTAACTTTTGTGTTAACATGAAATTGACTTACTTTACATAAATTAGTAAATATTTTTAACTTTCTCATTTAAATTCCTAGTACAGTAAATACTCATATATGTTGCCCACATAGAAACTATTTGGAATTCTCAGTTTTTAAAAGTATAAATTGATTCTGAGATCAAAATGTTTGAAAGCCACTGTGTTAGACCGTAAGAATAGTTGCTGTATGAGTTCGAAGTATAATAGGTATTTTGGGGAATTTAGAATACGATTTTTAGACTGCCCTTTGTAGAATCACCAGGAAGTGGAAAAAATGATGTAAATTAACCAAATCTGTTTCACATTGCAGTGCTCCTCAATAATTGAGATCATGGCTAAGTTACTTAACCTCTGGATGCATGATTTTCTGTAAAATGACTTGTGAGGATTGTTACAAGAATTATTTGACACCTTATGTATATATGTACTCAGTCTGGTACATATTGAGAATGTTGATTCCGTTTTTCTCTTCCTTTTCCTTTTTAAAGCATATTAATAGTTTTGAAATATTAGTACCAGAAAATTTTATTTATCCCTAGTGTGCTGGTATGATATGGCTTATGGTAATAGTATCAGACTTAATAGCATTTTTGTACAGTGTACCTTTTATACAGCTATTTTTAATTGTAGTAAACTATGAAGCAGTGGCAGTCTCAATTTCACAGAATGAACTAAACTAAATTAGTCCGAGTAATGAAAGATTCCTTTTTGTCTAATATGTATAGTCACTGTAGCAAGGTTAGAACAGACTTGTCACAGCAAAAATGATATGAAATTAAAATGATGCTAATATCGCCATGGTATTTGTGAGAAGATACTTTTAGGATGCTCTTCAGAACTGTATCTTCAGGTATAGACCAAGCTGTATAGACATCTGAATTTTTCAGTGCTAAAGTGGTACAAAATGATTATATGTTATACATAATTTTTTAATTTAGAAATTTTCATGTAATCTTTTGGTAGCCTGTTTTAGACACTATATATAAAATGCTTCACTGTAGTTGCTTTGTTTCTCAAGTTAATGATATTTAATACTTGTATGAACATCCATTTGTGTTGCATGGGGTTCTCTTGCAGTGAATTTTTGTATATAAAGTGTACTGTATACATGCTTTGTTTCAGGTACTTTTGCGAATGCTGACTCTGCCTCTATCCCTCATGGAGCAGTCTATTACCCAGTAATGTCAGATCCCTATGCGCAGCCACCATTGCCAGGTTTTGATTCCTGCCTTCCTGTTGTGCCAGATTATTCCTGTGTTGCGCCCTGTCATCCAGTTGCTGCAGCATATGGTGGTTCTTCTCAAATTCATGGTGCTGTAAATCCTGGGGCAGTTGGCTATATTGCTTCACCTCCTTCATCTTCTCATTATGTACCTCAGAATATGTAAGATTCAGCAATATGAAGTATTCTTATACTACCATTTTCTTGGTGTTTTGGTTTTTAAAGTTTTTTATGTTGGTGTTTGAGTGATTTAGGTGGCAAGAGTCATTACTATTGTATCTGTCTTTAAGATTGTTTTATCTTTTGATTTAATATTTTCCTTTAAAGGAATACTGCTTTGGGCTGTGAATAAGGAAATTAAGATGGATGTACAACTAGCCCCATACTGAGCATATTTGATTGTATTCAGTTGTTTCCCTGTCAACTGGCTTGTCAACTTTGTATTAGCTAATGGTGCCAACTGAAATAAATCTTACAAACTATTTCCCTGGCTGAGAAATCATACAACATACTAAACTGTTAAAAATTATTATTTCCATTTTTCTAGAAAGTAAAATCAAGAGCCTTTGCTTCTGGGTAATTTACTATTAAATAAGAGAGCTCTTCAGGTTTCTTAAGAATTGTATGACCTGAGTTGTGTTCTGTGATATTAATCAGTTTTGAAGTCATATGATGCTCTGCTTTAGATTTATTCCATATACTATTGTTTAATACTGGATTTATGTAACTGCACAGTATTGAATTGGTGTCCTTTGCACAGTTAGCAGTAAATAAAAACTAGCATTTAAAATTGCCAAAATAAGTGTGATTTTCTTTTTTTTTTTTTTTTTAATTCTTTTATTGGTACATTGTAGGTATACAACACAATTACATTTCTCATTGGGAATTTTGCTTTTTCATGGCAGCAGAGAGTGTACCAGACATTTGATTGTTTCAGCATGTTTTTCCTTGGCATTTTGGTTGCAGAAGATGTGACTTTATAGCTTCAATTTCAACAGGATGGAGGTGTGGGGGTAGTTGCAAGGCCACTTGAAATGTTGTTTAATCTCAAGTCAGAGAGATACTACCATATCTAGCTCTTTTCTCCTGAGACTGTTCCTTTTAAAGTTATTTGGCTTTAGCTGGGCATGATAGCGCACACCCCAGCACTTGGGAGGCTGAAACAGGAGGATGACTGTGAGTGAGTTCAAGGCCAGCCTGGGCTACATAGTGAGTTCAAGACCAGCCTGAACTATATAGCCTGTCTCAATCCCCCCCAAGTAACCCACAAAATAAATATATGACCTCCATATGGAAATTTTAATGTAGACTTACTTTCTCATTGTCCCGTATTCCCAATAGTTGTCATATCTTACATTTTTTATTTTTAGACTTATATCTTAAGGCCTGGCTTGTTTCTGAATTTCTGTGAGAATATTTCATCAGCCCTTTTTGCCTTCTTTTCATCTATCCAAAGACCACAAGATCTGTATTAATCAATTATCCTCTGTGGAGTAATTTGACCAGAATGCTTTGTTGTATCTCACCTGACAAACATTTTTTAAAAATGTTTTTGGTTTCCACAAAATCTATTTATGACTATCTTTTTAAAATGTTATACAGTAGTACCTTGGTTCACGAATGCTTTTGTTTGCAAACAATTTACAAACAGATTCTTTTGGCAAAATTTTGCTTTTGTTTGTAAACTTTATCAGGTGACAAACATGACCGCACCCATCTCTCACACAAACACAAATGTGGCAATCTTTTCCAAAATTGTAGAACAAATTAAGTTCATGAACCAAGGTACCACTGTATATGCCTATGAGTCAGTCTGTACTCTCAGCCCTGCAACCATACACCAGGCAAAAAGAACTACTTGAAACATGGGCTTGGACTTGAACAGTACTGTACTGATGTGGAATCCATTGCAAAGAATCTGTCTTCTCTGTAATGTCCAATTCTCAAGATGATTGATATTAATAGGTCCCAAATAAGCCAGTACTATTTAAAGAGTTCCACTTCATAATAACAGTTATAGTACTGGTTGGGGTTTTTGGTTTTTAAAGTGTTGCTCTACAATCTGGCATTTGACAGCTTTAGTAAAGACAGATCAATGGCAGTGTACTGATCTTTACAGCACCCTAACTCTGTATTACTGTATTAACTTTTCTGCTAATCTCTTGGTTTCTTACTTTCAGCAGCCCATAGTCAAGCTTATAGCATGGAGCAACCTTTCAACATGTTTCAATATGCTAACACTTCTGAAGTATACATAATTTACAGCAAATGATTTCCTGTATCTTCACCTGTCAGTGGTTCACTAAGTAGCTTCTGAGGGGATGTTTTAGAAGGTGTTATTCTTTCTTGAGGATATGGGTCTGGACTTTGGCTGGTTCTGAAGCAAGTACTTTTGCCTTAGGTTTCCAGTTTGTTTTTATTTCAAACTTGTAAATTGCTGCCTTCCCTTAAATTTAATTATCAGATGATACAGTTTAACTAGATGTTTATTATGATCTTTCAAATCTGAAATCAATGCATATACTAAGTTGACCTAATTGTTACCAAATGAAATCTATGGCATTTATGATTTACTTCAATCATGCAAGTGCAAGCCCCTTTGCTTGCTTCTCTAGTAGGAGTAAATCCTTGCCCTCTTGTTGTTTTGGGTGAGGTGGGGTGGGGTGGAGCTGGAGTAAGCCACCTTGCGGTGTAAGTCTTTAGTGGTTCTTGGAAGCAGCTGCCAGATGTAACTTTCTAGTAATAATGTTCAGTTAAGAACATTTTAATCAGCTTGTAGCAGAAATAGTGGTAGCCTACTTCATTTTACATATTGCCTCCAGTTGTCCTTGATATGACAAAGATATGTTGTCTTTCCTTTACTAATACCCAAACTTCATGCATTTAGAATTGTTGGTGGAAGGAGCTATAAAGGCACTGTGGTTTGTTTGGGACTTGTTACCACCACCTCCCTTACTGATACAAGTTTGGTTATACTAAAGGTAGAAAGATAATTTCTATAGCAAAGAATTAGACTTCATTTTTATGTTCTGTATATTCCCAAAACCAATTATGGACTTTCTGTTTTGATGAAGAACAGATGAAAATATTGAGTGTTTTACTGTTGAAATTCAAAACTTGTGAATTTAAAACATCTTTTATTTCCTTGGAGCCTGTAATCAAGGCATGACCTTTTAATTAGCCCTGGAAATAAAAGTTTAAACATAATTTTTTAAAAATGTGAACATCAGACATTCAACATTTGATTCAAATATAACAAAATAGTCCATTTGGGGCGGTGGACATGAATAAATTTAAACTTTTCTAAACCTGAGACAAATTTAGTCGGGTTTACATGAAACCTCCAAGAGAACTAATATACCAAAAGACAGCCTCCTCTTTTCTCCTTTTTCTACACAGAATATTAAATTTCAGTAGCAGCGACTTGATTTGGAATACTTAGCTTCTAGACTTAGCTTCTAGCTCAGTTATCAAAGGCAGTGTTCCCTTGTAATACTTTTCAGGGACATATGGGGAATTTCACTTCGGGAAAAGATCCACTCAAATTTAGGCAACTATTACTGTGTTGTTAAAAGTGTTTTAGAATGGTTAATCTGGAAATTGCTTCAAAATAATGTAGGTATAAAATTTATAGATAAAAGATTAGAGTTGTGTCACTGTAAACCATTGAAACTTGGATCCCTGAAGCCATTCCCTTTATTTTTGTGTTTGAAATACCTCGGTAACTGTCCATCTGGAGGAGAGATACTTAGATAACCTAGAGTTCGGGTTTTTGAAAATGTCTTGAATCCTGCAAATTACAAGATTTTACAGAAGCTGTTACATAAAGCCCATAGACTCACTGCTAAGACATCTAGGGGACTAGGGGAAGCCTAGAGGATAGGAAATGGATTTTATGAAATTCTGTAATTCTGAAGAATATTCACTAGTTAATGTGTAGAATTTTTTATTGAATATGTGATACTCATTTGTAATTGAAACTAACTGGAATGAGCCATTTCAAGTTTTACAGTTTCCATCATTGTTTTCCTAATAATCAGTATTTTTAAATTCATTTTTCCCCCCTTGTGATTGCCAGAGGGGATCTTGGAAGCCAGGATATCTCTGACTGTTGAACTGCTTTTTCCTTGGCAGGTGGTTCTTGCCACTGTCTAGACCTCTAGACCTTTTATAAAGAGTAGGGGTGTATTGACTTTAAATTCAATCAATTCTTAGGAATTCAATTCAGTCAATGAATAGAAAAGTTAAGATGTATTTTAGCCAACATTATTGGATAATATATTGATTTATTAGTGTTATATGAGTGGTCAGTCCCTTCACCTAATTTACCAAGTCCCTCTTGGAGACCTTACTACATATAAAATACGTGTTACTCAAATTGTTTGCAGAATTGCAGAAAAAAGTTCTGCTCTAGTACTAGGGTACTAAAGTACTAGAGGTGAAGAAACTATTGTCTGATTTCCTTGTTCTGGTACGTCATCCACCTCAAAGTGAAAATTTTTACCTTAGTAAGAAGCTGTTTTGTATTCAGTTGTACTGTTTGCTTCAACAGTTGAACTTTGGTTTTGTTTTGGTTTTTTCCCTCTGGTAAAATAACTTCAAGTACCCAAGAAGTATGGCATAGTTTAGGCTTTTGTTAACTTAGTTCTTTTCCTGTACTCACTGCTTATTTTTTCTAGTATTTTATTATGAAAGATTTTAAATATACAGCAAAGTTGAAAGAATTGTGCAAAGAACAATCACATTTACCACCTAGAGTCAACAATGAACATTTCACTCTGTTTGCCTTTTCACATAGCCATCTATAAATCCTTATTCTTGAATTTCAAAATAAAATTGAAGACTTAAATATAGTTCATTCCTAAGCCTAGTGGTATGCATATTAAGTAGAGTTCAGTATTTGTTAAAGACTTTTTTCTTCTGTGATAAAGTTCACATGCAGTATAGTGCACAAATCTTAAGTGTTGGGTGCTGTGAATTTGGCAAATCATACACCTTTGAAGACCAAACCTTTATCAAGATAAGTGCATCACTTCCTCAAATCCTTCATGCTTCTTCCCAGTCAATTTGTGATTCTACCCTCTCCCTGCAGTGAACTACTGATTTTTCTGATGTTCCCCCAAGCATAGATTAGTTTTCATTTTTAAAAACCTTAAAAATGAATCA